TGTGCTGACTTTTCTGTCTCTTGTCACCAGGACAGGAGGGGTGGGTGTCTGGGGCTTCAAGGTGGCTCCCAACTGTGGGAATGCAAAAGTCCTGTTGAAGAAGAATGGGAATCTGATGTTGGGATGAGGAGGAAATCTTGGATTCGGTGGCTTCCCAACGGGACTTCTTTGTTCAAGGATGTTGTTATTTCCAAAGACTTTGGGGCTGGCATTGAACTGGTTGGTTCTATGGTCACCAAATTTACTGGGAATGCCAGGTTTGGGCCTGTGCAGTGGGGCGGGAATTGTGGTTGCTGACTTTGGAGTCACAAAAGGCTTGCTCTCTGGAAAAGCCCTCGAAGGATAGGCTGTTATTTCTGGTTTGCTGGTCATGTGACGAGGTGGTGGGAAGGTCACGGAGTATCTAAAGGAGCTTTGAGTGGCCAGATGTGGTGGCCTCACTGTCCCTCTTGGAGGTGTAGGTTTGGTAGGAATGACGCCTGGTTGGTGGGAAATTTGTACTCTTCCACCGTGGTGGTGAATATCTGGGCCTTGAAGTAGAGTGTTCGGGGTTTTACCATCAAACGTGTCCTTCACCAACTCATGCTTTGGAGATAAGTTCATGTTGTCCTGTCTGGAAGACGGAGTGGATGCCTCATTTCGATTCAATACATACTGAGTTTCCTCTTTGTTCATTCGGGGCAATTTTGTTTCCAAGACACCCACATAATTAAACAACACATTTTCTTTGGACTCTGTTGGTGTTTGAGAAGTTCTTGGAGTAAGAAATGTGGATTTTGTGGTGATTGGGAGCGAAGACACCAACGTCGTGGGTGGGAACAGGGATGTTGTTTCCTTCAAGGGGCCAAGCATAGCAGCGTGATCCCGTGGTCTTACTTCAGGATGGAGACTTGCTGGGGTGGGTTTTTGCTGACCCTGACCATGAGTGGTGGTGTCTGCCTGACTTGAGGGCTCCACTACTCTTACGCTTGATGGTGTAGCAGAAGTATCAACATCTCCTCGTTGAAATAGTGTGGAGACTGCCACAGAAGAAGAAAACTCAGAAGGAAAAGATGAGTTTGCCAACTCTTTCCAAAGGGGTGGATCTGTCCGGGTTTCCTGAACACTGGTGATGGGTTTGCTTGTCACCATCTTCTGAGGCTGGACTGTCCTTGGAGAAGTCAGGCTTGGAGCTCTTGGAAACTCTGATGGGTAAAATTCTCCCATAAATACTTCCACAGTGGAGACCGCCAAGCCAGAAGATAATATGACATTAGTTCCTGCCTCAGTGGGGACTGGAGTGCTAGTTTTATAGTCATGGACGTTTGTGACATTGTAATCCTTCTTAATCTCCTCCACATCAGGCTTATATGTGACTGCGATTGTCTCTTGGACGTTACCGAGAGGCAGATATACTTTTGAGGTGCTTGTCACATAATCTTCCTCTCTCTTGGTCTCATGTGGGTCTCCCATTTTCAGAGGAATGGTTGAAGATAGAAGTGGAGTTTCTGAACTGGGACCAATCACATATTTCTGTTTGTTTTCTGGGGGAGAGCTGGACGTGGATACTGAGTTCTTTGAGCTCACGGTGGACGTGAAGGACCGATGTTTGTTTTGTTTCTTTGAGTGCTTCCTCCGTGGGGTTCCCTTGGTCACTGGTTCTGCAGGTTTCCCCATTTCCAGCTCTTTGGGGACACCAACTGTGTTATCAACTCCAGGTGTCAAGACCAAATCCTCCACTTTGGTTGGCACCTTCATCTCTGCTACTGGAGTGGGCTGCGTAGAGTAAGTCTCTATGGGGGCAGATGTCGTGGGTGGAGTTTGCTTCTGCCGGTGGCGGAGTCTGTGAGGGCGTAATCTTCTCCCGTTGGGCTTCCTTCGAGATAGGTGAGTGGTCGGCATGGTTGGTGAAGTGGCCTTTAGTGTTGGCGTCATCTTTGATGCTGTAATGGTGTCCCTGTCAAAAAGAGTGTCAGGTGTGGTTTCTCCAGATGGCTTAAATGGAACAACACTGCCTATCCCTTTTAGCTCCTCACTCTTGGGGCGTCTGGAATCTGTGCGCTCTTTCTCCTGCATGTCACTTTCTGGTATCTGAGACTTCTCCACCATGTCTTTTTCCATCAGGGAATTGCCCTGGGTGGCTAAGCTCCCTATCACAGGGTGCGTGTTACCTGCATGTCCTTGGAGATGTGTTTGGGCTGCTACATCTGGTGCCACTCCTGGCTCAGAGATACTGAGGTCCACAGCCCACCAGGTGGGAGTTGGAGTGAAGCGTGTATCCTCAGCAGGTAGACTATCAATCTCGGACTCTGTATAAAGATATGCTTTGGTCTCAGACTCTACCAAAGGAACAGCTTCCAGTGGTAACTCATCCACTTTGGATGTGGGCAATGGCACAGGTTCAACGCTTGGTGCTGTAGACCAACCCTCTGTTGCTACCTCTTCATGGGTGGGCTCTTCGTAGAACGTGTCCAGGGTGTGCAGAGGGGAAGAAGACTCGTCAGGCAAAGCCATCAACGTAGGGACTGAAGGGTCAGATTGGGTGGGAGCTGAGTCCTCCATCTTCTGAAACACCTCATGATCAATGACATCTTCCAGTCGCATGCCTGCTACTTTGGGTTCAGCAAGAATGACCACATCATGGTCACGTTCTAGTGCAATCCCAGTTGAGGACGGGGTACTCAGGAACTGCTCTTCCTCACTGAACATGGACATATCTTCTGAGGATCCCTCTGCACCAGTCGCCATCTGTGCAGGAGATACTAAAGGTGGAGGGGCAGCAGGAGAAAGAGGTGTGACCTCCACAGTCACTGATGGAGGTGTTGTAGTTTGGGTGACCTGCGGGACTTCTGTGCCCTTGGAGAGGTTCCTCCCACGGACTCTGGCTAGGATGTCTGCCCAACGCTGTGGATTGATTTGTTTGTTTGTCATATTGATCCTCCTCCTGGACTCAAACACACGACGTCCTTCTGCAATGTTTGTCTCGGGTTCCTTGTTCCAGACCTTCCACTTTCGCCGGCCTTTCTTGAGCTTCTGACCTCCGACACCGGCCTCGTCCTCTGTCTTGAGAAACACTTCTTGGTCCATTGGATGCAGGATCCTTCTTGGAGTCCTGTCTTCACTGCCGACGCCGGAGCCCCCTTCATCTTCCACAACGTTTCCTCTGAATCTGGAAACAGGCCTGGTTCCTGGGAGTCTGCCTCTTTTGGAGGCCCTGCTGGGTCCTTTCTTATTCACGGTGACCCTCACAGTCAAATGGTCTGCCCCTTGTAGGTTGACAGCCACGCATGTGTAGTAGCCATCATCACTGGCTTGGACCTTTGGGATATAGAGTGTTTCATTGTCCAGCAGGTATGTGTGGGATGTGTTAGCCAGGTGGTTCATTATCTTTTTGTTTGGAAGAACCCAGCTAAGCTGTGCTTCTGGAATTGCTAGGGCGCTGCAAGGCAACACCACGGGCTCTCCAGGGTTCTTATTGATGGTCACTGTGTGTCTGTCAGGGGGCTGAGTGACTGGCACCTGCACAGTGACCCTGTACACCATCCGGTCCATGTCATCTGTCACTAGAGCAATGCACTGGTACACGCCTGAGTGTAAGTATCCTGCTGACTTGACCCTCAGTTGACCACCACTGAGGATGGAAAATTGGCTCTCCAAGTCCTCCATGGGGGCTTTGAGGACCGAGCCATCTGGCAACACCCAAAAGATGGACGGACTCTCAGAAGCCCTCACGTTACAGCTCAACTGGAAAGAGGTCCCTTTCAGGACCACCTGGGTCCTTTGCACAGTTCGACTTGACTCTATCATCACCCAGCTTCTGCTCTGCGCCTGCCCTGCATCCTTGGTGGACACCGTTTGAGAAAACTGCGCGTAATAGGACAGTAGCACCTTTTTGGCAGTGCTCTGGCGCCGGTTCAGTTGGATGTCCACAGACGGTTGCATGACCCATTCTGGATCCGCAAGGAGCCGGGCTTTGACACCTGTGTAATAGAGAGCGTCGTCGTCAGTATCCTGTCTGTAATCATAGTGGACCTGGGGGTCTCTGCTGAGCTGCGGTTCTCGGTGCAACTTCAGCGGGACCTCGCTGTAATAGGCTATCAATTTCCATAGCTTCTCATAGTTCTCTCTGGTCATGGGACACTCAAAGTCTAAGGCGACCGTGGCATTGACTTCGATCTCAAGAGGTTCTGTCTGGTTCAAGAAGATTTTGTGCACATCTGTTGGTTTCTTGATGGTGCAGGACAAGTTCACTGTGTTTCCATGCTCGTCCGTCATGTTCAAGGAGACATTCCAGGTGGAGAGCTGGAAGCTGTCCGGGGAGAACTGCCCATCACTCTCTTCGTCCTCTGGTTCCTGGTCCTCGTCACTGCTCCTGCTCTCGTTCTGCCTCAGAGGAGACTCGATGAGTGGCTTTGCACAAACGATGTCCTGCAGTTTGTGGATCTCCTGTTTGTGCAGCTTCTTGGGACTGGAGCACGTGGCGCACAGCTGACCGTCTTCATAGGCCTTGTCCTTTTTACACTTAAGGACCCCTGGAATGACAAAGACACAGTGTGATGGTTAATTCTGTTGTGTCAACTTGGCTAGGCTAGGATTCTCAGGGGGTTGGCCAAACACTCGACAGGTGCAGTTCCATAACAAAAGGTAATGTAATCACCCTTCATAATGTTATGTAATGTGATGTGAGCTTCCGTAATGTAAGGTATGCCATGTGATGTAATTACTTTCCGTAATGTAATAATGCATGTGATGTGATATAATCACCTTCCATAA